TCACTATATAATACTACAATAAAGTGAAATTATAGTTATCTTAGTATTCAACAATACCACCATCAAATTTTAAACTGAGTTAGGAAAATAAAACAAGTGTAAAATGAATAGGCATTGTGCCTAAAATTGTTTAAATAAGCATCCAGCAAACAAAAAGACTTGATTATACTGCAACTGTATGCACAAAAATGTGTTACATCTTTCTACTGTCGGAAAATGAAGCAAAACTCCAACTGTTCAGAAAGAAGCTAGCTCAGTATAGGTCACTTACAAGGTGAGACCACATGGCAGAAGACTGGCAGGATTTGGTTTCTTTTTCCCACAGAGTGACAAATGGGAGTGTTTGGGAAACAGCATTAAGAAAACTGAAACATGTTTTGATACCTCTGGACTTCCTGGAGTCTGATCTAATAGTGTGTCTTGTACTTAAGAGAAACATACTATGTGATGCATTTTCTTTTCCTTTTCCATGTTTTTTTTTTTCTTTTTTTGAGATTGAGCCTTGCTCTGTCACCCAGGCTGGAGGGCAATGGTGTGATCTCGGCTCACTGCAACCTCTACCTCCTAGGTTCAAGCCATTTTCCTGTCTCAGCCTCCCAAGTAACTGGGATTACAGGTGTCCACCACTTCACCTGGCTAATTTTTTTATATTTTTTAGTAAAGACAGGGTTTCACCATGTTGTCCAGGCTGGTTTGGAACTCCTGACCTCAAGTGGTCCACCCACCTTGACCTCCCTAAGTGCCAGAGTTACAGGTGTAAGTCACTGCGCCTAGCCTATGTGATGTATTATCTAAATTACTTGGCCACAAAGTAATTTCATTCAAAGCATCTCTAAGCAGAACTAAGTCCACCATGGAATCCATTTCAGGAAACAATATACTAATTATTTCTCAGTTACACACCTGTTTGTAGGCAATTTCACTCACTGCCATGTTTCAATAACTATTAGCTGCTGATAACTACATTTATATCTCCAGTTGAGTTCTTTCTCTCTTGAACTCCAGACATATCTTTTGGACATCACCATTTAAATGTCCTACAAGCAACTAAAAGAATCTATATGTCAAAACTTGGACTCAACGTTTCCATCTATGTTTTCCTCCACTACACACATACACACACTACCACCACCACCACGTATGCTTATGTGACCTTCCTCTCAAATACTCCCTATATCGGGAAATAGTGCTAGTTGCTTAAACAAGAAATCTGGGAGAAATATCTGTGTCCTTTTTCCTCCTCACCACCCGTACCCATTCACCGAAACGTTATATTACTGCCCCAGAAATATCCCTTAATTCAATTCCATTTTCTCAAACCTTACCACTCTGGGTTAAACAATGACCTCTAACACATCTTCTTTTCTCTAATCTTGCTTCCTCCCAGCCCATTCTCCATGACACAGACAGAGGAAATTTGCAAATCTAATCATGTGATAACCTACCTAAAACCCTTTGGTGGTCCCCTTTAATTTTAGAATGAATCCAGAACTCCTTACCCTAGCTCAGAGTTTCCTGCCACTATTGCCAGTTTCCTCCTTGGCCACTTTCAGCCATTACTGAGCTTCTGGCAGCTCCCCAGGGTATCTCACAGGTGCCATGCTTCCACTCCCTGCATTGCCCATGCTAGTTTCTCTGGATCAGTCTGCCCTTCCTCCTCTTCTCTCTCTTCCCTTTCTGTATCCCTTTGCCTGGCTTACTCCTGCAAATCCTCCCTGTCCTAGCCCAAACATTAATTCTTCAAGAGTACCTTCCTTGACCCTCCGACAAAGTGAGGTTAGCAAAGTTGCCATTACAGCCCCTACCATAACACTCATCACACATTATTGCCATGATTATTTGTATTCTCCTCCTCCTGCTACAACACAAATTCCATGAAGGCAGACTTTGCCTTTGAGATTCCCCACTCTATCTGCAAGGTCTTAGCTAGCACAATGGCTAGTTGAGAGACCAAACTCAATAGTTACCTGCTGACTTGGTACGTGATTCCTGAAAGCCCTTCCAGCTCTAAAGTTATGAGTTTATGAGTGACCCAGGCCAACTACATGTTACAGGAAATCAGAGTAAACAAAGGTAGCAAAATGTAACCTAATAGGATTTACCAATGAAAATCCTGTCTCCTCTTATTTCAAACCCTATCTATATACTGCCATTAAACAATACTAACAGTGATCTCAAAAGCAAAGTGCTTTGGGGTTGTTTTGTGAAGTATTTTGATGAGGTCAAATGTGAAAAATGAAAAAACTTTCATAAAATAGAGAATAAGTATTTAAATATGTCCAGATGATTCCATTTACACAAAGTCCAAGAATGGGCAAAATAAAGCTGTAGTGATAAAAATCAGAAAATGGTCGCCTCACTGGGGGAGAGCAGGTTGGCTGGAAAGGGTCAGAAAAGAGCTTTCCATGGTGATGTAAAGGTTGTTTTGAGTGAAGTTTACATGGATTTATACAATTGTCAAAATCCATGGCACTGAAACCCCCAAGATATATCCATTCTATTTTATGTAAATTATACTTCAATAAATATGAAGATTTCAGTGGCTTTATACCAGGTAATTCAGGTTCCTTTAAATAAAACAAGATATGCTATTTACTAATTAATCCAATGTAAATTATTGCTGAACTAATCATTTTGATTAATGAATCCAATGAATCACCTAAAATTCTGCTGTCATGAATCAGTTATCTTCTCACGGTTTTAAGTGCCAATAAAACTCAAACAAGTCAGATCAGTACATGCCTAACAAAAAGTAAACACACATGTAAATCTCAACACTCTAAGGTAAGATTATTCATGACAAATATTTCATCTTCAAGTCAAAGCCTAGTTTGGCTCAAGAACCACAATGTGATGCTACTATAGCTGCATTTTTCTCCAGCACAACAAGAGAAGGTCTAGGAAAACCAGACAGAATTTCATGTGTATGCCCCTACATCACACTCTGTCATACATTTAGCAAAATATCCTTATTCTGTTTTCTGTTAACAGCCTTTTAACCATTTTCACAACTGTGTTTTTCTTTTTTGTTCCTGAATATATCGGCTTTGTTCAGAAGAACTCAAAACAAAGAGCAGTTTGGAGAGTTCTCAAAGAATTAAAAGTGAAATTACCATTCAACCCAGCAATTTTGCCACTGAGTATAAGCCCAAAGGAAAGCAAATAATTCTACCAAAAAGACACCTGCAGTCATGTGTTTGTCATAGCACTATTCACAATAGCAAAGATACAAAATCAACCCAAGTGCCCATCAACGGTGGATTGGATAAAGAAAATGTGGTACATATATACCACATAGCACTATGCAGTCATGAAAAAAACAACCAAATCATGTCCGTTGCAGCAACATGGATATAGCTGGAGGCCATTTTTCTAACCAAGTTAACACAGAAACAGAAAACCAAATGCTGCACGTTCTCATTTATAAGTGGGAGTTAAACCCTGGGTACACACAAACACAAAGATAGAAACATTAGACGCTGGAGACTCCAAAAAGAGGGAGGAAGGAGGGGCACAAGGGCTGAATACTACTCTGTGTTTACTACTCAAGTGACAGGGTTAGAGAAGCAAACCTCAGCATCACACAGTATGCCCAGGTAACAAAAGTGCACATGTGCCCCCGAATCTAAAATTAAGAAAACACGTAAAAAAATTAAGCTCATTTGAAAATTGTACAGATTTTCTTCTTATGTGTGCAACAGTATCAGGGTTGAAGACGCAGATTTAAAAAGAGAAGATTTAAGGGGAAAAACACCTATGTGAATGGCCTTTAAAGGCAGTCTACAAGTGATATATTTCCCATCAGCCTAAGCAGACCCTGAAGGCCAAGTAAGTTACATGAAGAGGAGGCAAAAATGCCCACTGTTCCCACTTCTGCTACACTGCCTTCTCTTTCTCAGACTGCACCTGCAGCCTTATGGAGTGTTCACCACCATCAATTGACAGAGGAAAAGAAGACTCATCTAGTTTTCAGATGGTTATGTACAATACGCAGGTACCACCTGAAAGTGAACATCTACAACACTAAAATCGCTTTCTGGGACATCTATGCAGGACAGTTGTAAAGGGGAATCCTCCCAGCGGACAGAACCTCAAGGAGTGCACCTGATTGTTCGCTTTGCTTGGAAGAAGAAATGGTCAGATGTGTGACTATATATCAGTTTATGGGCTGTGGCGAATGGTTTAGCTGGATAGTCTGAGGCTTGGAATGAATATGATTGGAAAACTTATGACAAGGAAATTTGAGGAATTGGTATGTGGACAGACCTCTCTGAATGGGCAAGAAATGTGAAGATATGTGCATTCCATGTGAATACTCAGCAAAGTGTGACTTCAGCGGAGGCAGATTTAATAATCAAGTAGATAGGATGGCCTGTTCTGTGAACATCAATCAGTCTCTTTCCCCAGACACCCTTGTCAGTGAAAAAGTGGCCATAGTGGCAGGATTGGAGATTATGCATGAACTTAGCAATATGGACTTCCACTCATCAAAGCTGACCTAGCTAAAGCCACAGCTGAGCACTCAATCTGCCAGCAGCACAGACCAACAATGAGTCCCAAATACTGTATAGCACCATTTCTCAGGTGACCAGCCAGCTACATGGTGGCAGGTTGATTACATTGAACTGCTTCCATCACGCAAAGGGCAGCGTTTTGTTTTTACTGGAAAAAAACACTTATTCTGGCTACTAATCTACCTTCCCTGCATGCAATGCTTCTGCCAAAGTTACCATCCATGAACTTATATAAAATTACAGAATATCTTATCCATGGTCATGATATTTGAGACAGCACTGCTTCTGATTAAGGAAATCATTTCATAGCCAAAAAAAAAAAAAAAAAGTGTGGCAATGGGTCCATACTTATAAGATTCACTGGTCTTACCACTGAATGGTCAACCATCCTGAAGCACAGCTGGTTTGACAGAACAATGGAATGACTTTTTGAAGACTCAGTGACAGTGCCAGCTAGGTAACAATACCTTGCAGGCCTGGCACAAGGGTCTCCAAAAGGCTCTGTATGCTCTGAATTAGTGTTCCACCTATGGTTCTCTTTCTCCAGTAGCCAGAATTCATAAGCCCAGCAATCAAGGGGTAGAACTGGAAGTGGCACCATTTGCTATTACTTCTAATGACCCACTAGCAAAACGTTTGCTTCCTGTTCCTGCAAATGTATGCTGTGTTGGCCTAGAGGTCTTGGTCCCAAAGGAAGGAATGCTTCTACCAGAAGACAAAACAGTGACTCCATGGGACCAGAAGACTGCCTCCCAACCATTTGGGTTCCCTATGCCTCCGAATCAGCAGGCAAAGAAAAGAGTTACTGCACCAGTAGGGATGATTTATCCTGACTACAAAAGAGAAATTGAACTATTTATCCACAATGGAGGTAAGGGCAGTCTCTTGCCTGTCTAGAATACAGGCAATCCCTTAGGACATCTTTTGGAATTACCATGCCCCGTGATTAGGTCAAATGAAAACTACAACAGCCCAATCCAGGTGGCACTACCTGTGACCCAGATCCACCATGAATGAATATTTGGGTCATCCCACCAGACAAAGAACCGTGACAGACTGAGGTGCTTGCTGAAGGCAAAGGTAATACCAACTGGCCACAATGGAAGAAAATGGTTATAAATAGTGGCCTGTGCAACCAGTTACAGAAATGAAGACTGTGATGGTCATGAGTATTTCCCTTTATATTGTTATAAATGGATATATACGTGTGTGTGTGTGTGTGTGTGTGTGTGTGTGTGTGTGTAGCACATATTCTCTTCTTTCTTATTCCTTTATGTAACAATATGCATTGGCTTTTTATAGTATTTAAGTATTGTTAATTTTATATCACTGTGTTTAAGTTGTGGAATATCAAAGAAAAGAGAAAACATCACTTCAGGACTTCACCTCCTCTTCTGGGAAAGGGGTTAGTGCATTTTCAGTTGTATGCAGAATAGTTATAGCATGTTAGACAGAATTATGACTTTGTTACTGTCTTTATTCAGGAATTATGTATGGTTTTAGAAGATGCGAATGTGTGCCAAGTTGACAAGGAGTGAACTCTCACTAGTTATTTCTATGCATCAATTTGACTGGACCATAGGGTGCCCAGACAGTTGGTTAAACATTACTCTGTGTGTGTCTGTGAGGGAGTTTTGGAATGAGATGAACACTGAAATCAATAGACTGAATAAAGGAGATTGTCCTCCTTGACGTGAGTAACCCACCCCTTCAGTTGAAAGCCTAAGTAGAACAAAAAAGTTGACCCTCCAAAAAATAAGGAACTCTTCTCTTCCTGATTGTCTTAAAGATAGAACCTAAAAGTGACGTATTTCATTTCCATCATACACTATTGGCTCAAACTAAGCCACAGGGCCATAACGAGCTACAAAAAAGAATGGGCAGCTAAGTCTTAGGAGAGTCTCTTACTAAAGGATGAATGAAACAGAAGATATTGAGGAACAATTAGCAGTTTCTATCCTCTGCCATCTTTGGTAATATTTAAGCCTCAAAGAAAAGATATGATTTTGGATAACTCATTCCCTACTCCTAAGGAATAAAACATTACAGCTGTATAAATACCAAATATTTTATTAAAAGGAAAATTTCATCAGTAGCAATATGAGCTGGACAATTCACTTGATCTCACTGCTCTTTACCTTTCTTTTCTATGACATGAGAATGAAAATGCCAATCCAGTTCTCAGACTTAGATACATGAGATGATGTACCTGAAGATACTTCGCAGTTATGAAAACATCGTTAAGAGATTAATCAGCTGCCTGAGAAGAAAATACAAAACCACCTTTCTCTTTTCTGTACTATTATCTTTCTTAAGATCATTGAGAAACAAGAATTTAGACTGCCAGTGCTGGTCAATATCTTCTCCAGGGCACTATTTTTGCATAAACATATGTTTATGTGATGCCTGTTACTTTGAAGCACTGAAGTCAATATTAATTAGTTATGTCCTCATATCAAAGGAAATCACATTCTAAAGAGGGATATGCATAGACAAAGTATTATTTAAAAATGCTATAATATGGATTTCTTAAGTGGTTGGATTAAGGTATAAGTAACATGAAGTGAACTTTACACATTTAAATTGTACAGTTTAAGTTTTGACATATGTATATGCTCATGAAACTATCACCAAAATGAAAATAATGGTTATATCCACTACCCTTAAAAACTTCCTAGTTCCATGCTCATTGTGGCATTATTCACAATAACCAACATCTGGAATCGATCTTAATGTCTAATAATGGGTGAATGAATAGGGAAAATATGGTATATTACGAAATGGAATACTATTCTGCCTTCCCAATGAAGGAAAACCTGCCATTTGCAACAAAATGGACAAACATAGAAGACATTATGCTAAGTGAAATAAATCAGGCACAGAAAGATAAATCTAAAAAAAATCTTAAAATGTCAAATTTATAGAAGCAGAGAGTTGAACAGTGGTTACAAAGGCCTGGGAGAAGAGGGATATTGGGGAGATGTTGGTTAAAGAATACAACATTTCAATTAGACAAGAGGAGAAGTTCACAAGAGTCTGTTGTACAACATGGTGACTGTAGTTAATATATTGTATACTTGAAAATTGCTAAGAGATAGGTTTTAAGTGTTCTCACCACACACAAAAAAATGGTAAGTAGGTGAGGTAATGCATATGTTAGCTTAATTTAGCCATTCCACATTGTATACGTATATCAAAATACCATACTGTACACCATAAATACCATGTCGATTATAAATATATATAATTTTTATTTGTCAATTAAAAAGTAAATTTAAAAATTATAAAGTTTTCTAGTATTCCTTTGTAGTTCCTCCCTTCTGATCGTCCCATCTCTTGTCCCCAAGTAAACTTCATATTTTTGGATACTCTTGGCAACAATAAAATTTTCACTTTAATTTCTAATTGTTTATTGCTATTGTATAAAAATAAAATTGATATTTATATCTCAATCTTAATGCATTCAACCTTACTAAATAAACTCAATTGTTAGTTCTAGTAACTTACTCATCGAGTTCACTGGATTTTCTACATAGACAATCATGTCACCTGTAAATAAAAACTGTTTTACTTCTTCCTTTCCAATCAAAATGACATTTATTCTTTTTCTCCTTGTCTTACTACACTACCTAGAAGCTCCACTACAATGTTGAACAGAAGTCATGAGAGCAGACATCCCTATGTGTTGTTCCCTATCTTTGGAGGAAATCATTCAATCTTTCACTATTAACTATGATGTTACCTGTAGGATTTCTCTTTTTTTTTGCAGATGCCCAGTATTAGCTTGAAGATGTTGCCTTCTATTTTTAGTTTGTAGAGTTTGTCACAAATGAGTGTTGGATTTTATAAAATGCTTTTTCTTACAGCAATTATATACCTTTTATTTTTCAGTTTCTTAATATGGCAAATTATACTGATTGATTTTTGGAATGATAAGCCAACTCTGCATTCCTAGGATGAACCTCACTGGGTCATGATATATTACATTTTGTATACGTTGTTACATTGTGTTTGCTAAATTTTGTTCAGAATTTTTGCATCTATGTTCATGAAAGATAATGGTTTGTAGGGCTCTTTTATTCTTCTAATGTCTTTGTCTGATTTTGATATCAAGATAAACTGACCTCATAAAATTATATATTCATGCCTTGTCAATTTTCTGAAGGAGTATGTGTAGAACTGGTATTAATTCTTTCTTAATATTCGATAAAATACACTAGTGGAACCATCTGGCCTGGCATTTTCTTTGTAGGGAGATGTTTAATTACAAATTCTTTTTTTTTAGTGACATAGTTATTCAGGTTAACTATTTCTTCTTAAATGAGCTTTGATAATTCGTGTCTTCCAAAAAATTTGTATGTTTCATCTAAATTGCCAACTTTATTGGCATAAAGTTGTTTATTATATTCCTAATTATCATCATAATGTCTTTTAAATCTCTACTGATGTTACCACTCTCATTCCTGATAGAAAAAAAGGAGAGGGCACAATTATCACTATCAATCTGACTAGAGATTTATCAATTTTTTTATCTCAAAAAACTGGCTTTTGGTTCCAATGATTTTTCTCTATTGTTTTTCTGTTTTTTAGATAATTTATTTTCATTCTGATCTTTATTATTTTCTTTCTTTTACTTAATTTAGGTATAATTTGCTTTTGTTTTTCTAACTGACGGGCAAGCAGAGGTCACTGAGTTGAGATCTTTATTCTTTTCTGATATAGGAATTTAGTGTTTTAAGTTCCTTCTAAACACTGCTTTAGTGTCATCCTGTGAATTTTGATATGCCATGTTGTCAGTTTCATTCAGTTCCAAACATTTCCTAATTTCCCTTTTTGATTTATCAGTAAATATCAATTTACAAATGTGTTATTTGGTTTCTAAATATCTAGGTGTTTTCTGTGGATCTTTCTATTGTTGATGCTCATAGATATTCCGGATTTTACTTTGTTTGATATGTTTGCTTTCCTACAAATACTCTTGCGCTTTGTTCTGGGACACAGTTCACTCCTTTTGCATTATCTTTTAAGATTTGTTAGTTAGTACTCAGTCTAAGGCTAATTATTTCCCACTACAGATGGGAAGCCTTTCTGTGTACTCTACCCAATTTTGTGAATCAAGAGCTTGTCCAGTTTGGCTGGTGGAAACATTCTTAGCCCTGTGTGAGTGCCAAGCACTATTACCTCTAAACCTTTTGGGTGGTTCTTTCCCTACCTCCAGCACTTTCCTAATCAGTCCTCGGTTGGATACTCAAGGGAGGTGCTTTGCTGATTTCTGAAATTCTCCCTCCGTGCAGCTCCCTTGTCTCCAGTTCTGAGAACTCTAGCCACCTTGGTGTTCTTGACTCTCAGCTGTGTATTCTCAACCCTGGGAGTCCCTGGACTCCACCTTGGTTCTCCCTTCCTGTGCAACAGCCTGGAAATACTCTCAAGGCAGTATGGTAGGACAATCAGAGGGCTTACCTCATTTATTTCATGTCTCTCAGGAATCATTATTCTTTGTTGCCTAATGTCTAATTCCCTGAAAAGTGTTGTTTCATGTTTTTTTGTCCATATTTTGGTTGTGTAATGCAGGAGAGTAAATCTGGTATGAATATTAGAAAGTCTAGATATTAGTCCTTCTAGACTGGAAGCAGAAATTCCTATTATATAGATTTGAATAAGCTGTTACAGGGATGCAAAGATGGGAACGATCTGCAACCTGGGAAATTTTTACAACACTTGGAAAAGGAGTGAAATTGGGTTAACTTTGTACTTGTGGAGTTTTCTGAGGTATGAAAGATGGAATCATGGAAGGATGTGGTTGATTCTGGAAATACTGAGTAGCTCAAGGAGGTTGGGCAAAGGTGTGAATTAGAATGGTAGACAATTACT